TAAAATAATAATTAAATAAGAGAATTTCTATTTATCAGCCTGGCTGATTTTATTAAAAATCAGCCTATTGTATAAATTATTGTAGTTTGTGTAATATAAAACAATCTATATAATAGTAATGCAAAATGATTCATATTATATTGTTTTGCCATAACTTACATTTGACTTTCACAGAATTTTATACTCTAACAACAATGCAAACAATGGGTCATACACTAGCTTACTTTAAAAAATTGATTAATTAATAGAACTGATGCATTACTTTGAATGCTATTTTGGTTATATATGCAGCTATACAAACTAAAGCAGGGTAGCATCTTGTGATTTTTTCTTCAATTTAAGATGACCTCCTATTATAGAAACAAGTACTACTTCAATGCCTAAATTGTATTATTGTTATCATTATACGTATTACATCTTACGATGTTTCTAATATGTATATACGTATATTGCATATTCAGTTCAGTATTATAGCCACAGTGAATAAAATCACATGGATGGATAAGGTAGCATGATACCAAAGGATTCTTGAATCAAAGAGAATTATGTACTAACTATAGCCCCCAAAATAATATATATATAAGCATCCACACTAACCCTAACCATTAAAGAAAACAGATTATAAATCAAGCTTTCAACTTATAGCTATCAAATTGTATTGCTTACTATATAGTTTGTAATGACTGATTTTTTTATTAAATTCAAAGTAGATAGCGAATATGCAATGTATTGTTAATAAAATATGTAGAAATTAAGTATAACCTTATAAGTTAAAATCTGTAAATAAACTTAGAACATTGCACAAATTAATTAGTAGCAATGATATATATTTAGCAATTAAAACAAGCTAATTCTAAGCATTTTGACAATGTAAATAAGTATGATCAGTTGCTTTACAAACTTTACAAGATGCATTGCAACTTCTTGCATTGTGTTCTTCTCCAAAACAATTGTGACATGTGTATCCTTCTCCAGACCAAACATTAGTAGATTTGTTTGATTTTTTTGAAATATTTTCTATAAATGCTTTTAACCTTTTAGTTGGCCATCCTCTTGAATTTGCTTGTAATAGGTTTTGAATCATATGTTGATTTTGGCTACTTGTGAAATTAGAGTTGGCTTGCTCTACTTGCTAAATCAAACCTTGTAAAATAGCCGCAACATATGTTAAGTGCAATTTAGCTGCCAAGGAAGCTAATTTATATTCTAAGGCAGCATATTCACTATAAATTTGTCATGACATAATAGTTTCTTCAATTTTAGCACTTTGAATTACATGTTCTTGTTCTGAATTCCAAGTATCATATATAGAAGTTAAGGCCAGATTTTCACTTCTTGTATTAATGGCATCAGTGTCTATTCCAATGAGTCATATATAGTGATAATCTCGTGCATTTCTATATTTTTTTTATACTAACAACTTTTTATTAAAGCCAAACTAAATTTAGCAGCTCTTATTTGTAATATTATTTGAAAAAAGTGACAGCAAACTAATCTTTTACTTATTAAAAGTAAATACGTACAGATATGAGAATTATCATGAAGTAATGATATGTAGTTAAGTGACGTTGTATTTGTTGCTATATGCTTGACTTCCCAAATTTCCAAGATATTCATGAGACCAATGCAATTAATAAGAGACTTGAGTGCAATTTGACGTTTATTAATATGGTCTTCAAGGCAATTTGAATTATCAAAATCATCGATCTTTAAAAAGGTTAAATATTAGAATTCATCATTATATTAAACAATAAATTTTAGTTAATGTTTTGGTCCGTTTTTATTTTTTATATGTTAGAACCGATTAAATATATAATTATAACTTACTTTATCGCAAGTATCATATCCGTTAGAACAAATCAGTCTTGAGTAGTATTCAAAGCAGATGTCTATTTGAGCCTTTTGAATTTGGAATATTTTATCTGTTAAAGCCAACTTTAAAAGATCAATGATAACTGGAAAAACACACATAGTGGATGACGATATGATAGTAAAAGGTAAGTTTTCCAGATAGTCATAGTACTCAGCTTTTTGAAGTTCAGAAAATAATATATTTTGTATTCCATTAAAACAATTCATTAGCGTTGAGTATGAGTTGATATATTTATGTACAATAGTATTGATGAATTCTACTCGTTAAGTTGAGAATATTCCAGCATTAAACTTCTAAAAAATTTATTACACATTAATTGCAACCTTAAACTAATTCAAACTTAATATGACCATAATTTAAATTTAATTACCTGAAAAATATAACATTTAGCCTATTTTTCTTTAATTGGGTATAAAGTATTTCTTAGATATGATGAAGTCTCTGAAAATTTAGTACATAATGAATTAAATCATGATTCAAAAACCTCTTCAAATAAAGTATTACAGCAAATAAAAAATTCATTTTGAAATACCGTAAATCAGGAACCTAGTAAATGCATCAACTGTTTTTTTATATTTTAAACTACATGAAAAATGCAGTGTAAGTATTGAGTATTTGAAAGTGTAGTTTCAATTGCTGGCCCCAATCCAGTATCACAGTCAGAATATATTGTTGCAGATGATAAGTTATTTGTAGCTGTTAGAAGACTTTTAAGAACCCAAATATATGATGAGGTTGTCTCATCAGACATTAGTGCTTGAGCCACTAATCTCGAATGATAATGTTGATCAATACTAACAAATAAACATAATACCATCTAATATTTATTAGTTCGTGCTGTATTGTCTGTCAGAATAACATCGTGATACTTTAAATATAAGTTTTGTTGGTAGGAAGTCATTCAAAATAGGTAAAAAAGATGATTTTTAATACAATAATAATTTATAAATCATGTAGGATTATTTTCTTTTATTTTTTGTAGCTCTTTTAAAAGGTTTAAAGCATCATTTTTAGGGTCTTGTTCAGAGTTTGCTATATTGCTTCTTCGAAATTGTTGAATAGCATTTGCCAAATCTTTATCCAAGAATAATTGATCTTTGAATTCACCACTTAAAAGTTGCTTTAATGTATGCTGATTAATATCATAGATTGTATTTATATAAAATTTAATCTTATCCACACATTTTGGGAAAGCCACCGATAAACATTAGCAAAATAAATTGTTTCAGAATTGAGTATATGATCTTGATGTTCAAGATTCATTTTAGTAATAACTGGGCTTGGTGACTTAAATGGCCAGCATATATTTATAAAACAAGTACAGTCTGTCTTAACTGATTCTCTGTTATATCTTTAAGAAGAATCAATAGCTGTTTTTTTGATTTAAAATTTCTAGCATGCCGGCACTTAAAGACATACTTATACACATCTCTATTGTTATCTAATTTTTTTTTTGGATTTTCTATACAAAGCCTGTCTGTTGTCTATATGCTAATAATACCAAATATATATGATTTCAGTCTTTAAATATCATTCTAATACATAATTCTGATGATAGCTCAAAAGCAGTATTAGGTATTGAAAGTGTTTCAAGAGGTCTTTTTTGACAATTTCAGCATGAGACGAGGTACTTTGTTGAACATTATAAGACTCATCATGACTTATAACATGAAATGAAATATTTTCTTGAACGCTTCCATTATCTCTTAAATTATAACACAGGCAAATTTGTCTGCGTTTATTTTTTTAAAATTTAAATTTTTAATAAAATCTTAAATATTAATTTTAACAATATATTTTCTAAGTAAAATATATTTTTAAAAATCTACTTTATTAACTTTGTTA